GACACTCAGTGCTTTTAATATTGACCAGCTATGCGCATGCGCTATCTCATGTAATCTCTGCTGCTGTGATGACCTGGTAGAACCTCAATCAAACTTCACCTTACAGGTAAGTCTCGTTTAATTTACAATTTCCATGGCAAACGGATCGTTGAGGGAAAAGTTTAGCTTTCACTGCTTTGTGAAATACTTTCTTTTTGCTACTAATGCCATTTTATGGGTAAGTATCACCAACGTTCTTGCATAGTGAACAGAGGATGTATTGCACACTGTCGGTGTACATGTACTGTTCCTCTCGTGAGAGACCTCTGCCGCTAACAGGTAACCTCGATCTTTGAGCTACATGTCCGTTCTGTTTCCTTTTCGGCACAACTTAAACTACTAACATGCCGGTAATAATGTGCTGTAAACCCCAGTCGTTGTTTTGTACTTTCGCCCGATGCTTTCGCGTTTCTTTCGCGCCTGCCCCGCTTGGCAAGCTCTCCCTCCAACACCCCCTGCCCCTACCCCTCGGGAGAGCTTGTATGTAGGTTAGTATGACATTAGCAATGCGGCTAGATGATCAGTCTGGTTATAAAGAATTCCTCAAGATCACAATATTTCACACTTAAGCTTTCATGTGATATTTAAAGATTTCATCTAAACAATACATAAGCAAGTCGCAGGTGAGGCAGCGTGGCTGAATGGTTTGTGCGACGGACTTACAATCAGGCAGTCCCTGGTTCAAGTAATGCTCTTTGGCCACTTGCTGGATTTGCTCTCGGTTGTCCCAATTCAGATCCTCAGCCAAGCCGGCTGGTTGCCTCCTTTTTATACTGTTATGTTACATTTGAATTATTTGTTTCTACTTACTTAACTTGAGTTGAGTACCTTTATACTAGCTGCATAGGTTAAGTGCACTTTCCACTATGAACATACCTTACCCTTTGATGTTAAGCAAGTGTAAAAGCTGTGCGCAAAGTTATTCTGCCCATCTGAGCCTGCTCTTTGCTTTTTATTTCTGGAGCCGAGAAAGGCTTTGTCTGCATCAGTCAAGTACATCTCTGCTTTGTCAGAGATCATTGCAAATTCTGGGGATGGGGGTGTAAGGATCAAAACTGTCTCTAACAAACTGTTGTACAGTCTTAGATTGTTTTATTTCTTTCACTGACCCTTCTCTTTCCTTCCTCAGTACACCTGCTACTAATATCTAAATTATAGATTAAATGAGGATCATTTGCATCATGCATTCTGAACATAATCTTCTTCTCTTTTAACATCCAGGTTCTTTGCTTAACTACATAAAAAAATATTTTAAAATACAACATAATAATTATGTATAAGTTAGACTGACCAAGATGCAGATTGTCTGGTCTATATTGTACGTATCAGATCTGAAATATTTTGTTGAATAAGTACCTGCTTAAGTATATGGGCGTTTATTACGCTTTCCTAACTAAAGATTGGTCCAGTTGTTTCTGGGAAGTTTCAGTATTTACAAAGGATGTGGGCAATATAGGACAAAAGTTAAAAGAAGAGATGCACGTAACACACACAAAGGAACTCTTCAAGTGCCCACATATGGTACAATACTTTATTTAAGAAGGAATTTACACTTATCTTAATCACCTAGTTTACAGCCATAAAGGTATATTCTAAAAATTAAAAACTAAAAATGTATCATAATTATTCATGATACATGTATGAAAACTGTAAAAGCTAATAACTAAGAATTGATAAAAACA